AAAGAAAATAGTTATATTAACTATTTTGATGCTAATAATTTGTATGGGTTAAGCATGATACAAAAACTGCCATATAAAAATCTAAAATGGGATGATACATTAAAAGAAGAAGACATTATTAATTATAAGAATAATAATAATGGATATATTCTAGAAGTGGATTTAGAATATCCTAAAGAATTACACGATTTACACAATGACTATCCAATGGCACCTGAGGTTATGAATGTTAAAGCCGACATGCTGTCAGATAAACAAATTGAAATTTATGAATTTTTAAATCATAAAAAACCTACGGATGAGAAAACAAATACATTAATATTGAACTTAAATGATAAAGAAAAATATGTAATCCATATAAGAACCTTGCAATTTTATTTGAAGCAAGGGTTAAAACTTAAGAAAATTCATAGAGCAATTAAATTTGAACAAAAAGAAGTTTTAAAACCTTACATTGAGTTTAACACTGAGAAGAGGAAGAACGCTAGAAATGATTTTGAGAAAGATGTTTACAAATTGATGAACAATGCCATATTTGGAAAAACAATGGAGGATAAAAGGAAACATTTAGATTTTGAGGTTGTTAGTGATGAAACTAGATATATGAAGTGTGTAAGTAATCCTAACTTCAAACATAGTCATATCATTAATGAAAATTTGGTTGGAGTTGAAAAGCAAAAAACAAAGTTGAAACTAGACAAACCTATATTTATTGGGATGATTATTTTAGATTTGAGTAAGCAACACATGTATAAATTTTATTATGACGTTATGAAGCCTAAATATGGAGATAATATTAAAATGGTATATACTGATACTGATAGTTTTGTATTTCATACTAAAACCAATGACATTTATGAAGACCTTAATACAATTAAAAAAGAATTAGATTTTTCAGATTATCCTAAGGAACATAAATGTTATGATGATAATAACAAGAAAGTATTAGGTAAATTTAAGGATGAATTAAAAAGTAAAATAATAACAGGGTTTATAGCCCTTCGTCCTAAATGCTATGCTTACTCAGTTTATGGTGATGATAAACAATATAAGAAATGTAAGGGAATAGCAAAAGGCACAGTAAGACGACAAATGAAATATGAAGAGTTTGAGACGGTTTTAAAAACTAATGAGGTTATACATAAGTCATTTAATAGTATTAGAAGTAAAAAACACAGAATTTTTAGTATAACAACTAAAAAAATTGCTCTTAGTAGTTATGAAAACAAAAAATATTGGACAGATAGTGTAAACTCACTTGCTTATGGCCATTATAAAATAAATTCTTTGAAAACGACTTAAAGAAATATTGACTTAATATATTAAGAGGAAAAATGACACTGTTTAATTATAGTAAGTGTGAATGTTGTAATAATAAAAAGAATGATATTAATTTTACATTGTATAACTTATTACCTGCTAATCTGTGTAATAAAATAAGTGAATATGATGTATATTGTAATCAATGCTGTATAACAAGAGACCTTGAAAAGTTGTTTGTTGAAGAATATAAGGATAAGGGATATACAAAGTTTCAATTAAAATTGAAATTCTTTATGAGATATCAAAAACGATTTCCTGTATATTTTTACAATAAAATTGATAGAGAGTCATTTGAAAAACAAATTGATGAGTTTTTTAATAATAAAGATTTGATTAAAAGGTTTGGAGGAGAACTAAGCATTAAACCATATAAATCATTTGCTAAAGAATTTCGTGATTTGTTTGAAGAGATTGATTGGCATTTATTAAGCAAAGATAAAATAAACAAGTTCTTGAATGAATTTAGAATAACTAAATATCATGTATGGTATTACTACAACACTAAATATAAAGTATGTCTATTGCTGTATTTATTCTTTTGGGAATATATTTATTCGATAATAGGAAAAGACAATATCAAATATATATACATTAATGATATTGATAAATATGTAGATTACATATTTGAAGACATATTGCCTGACTGTTATCTTAAATCCTTAATTCTTAATTGAAATATAATTATAACATGTAAAATATTATATGCTATAATTATACTATACTTATGGTTAGTTTCTTAATTTTTATTAATGCATTAAAAATGACTTAAAGAAATAGTGCCTTAATACAATAAGAGGAAAATGAACGGTGATAAAATCAATAATTATATCAATAAAAAATGCTATGATTGTTGTCACTTCAAAAAAGAAAATATGGAATTGTATAAATTAAATTTACCTAATAAAATATTGAATAATACTATTAATTATTCAATGGATGAAGAAGATGAATGTAAAATTTGTCAGGAATGGAGAGATAATCAAGTTTTAATCAAATGTCTGTTGAGAATAAAAGGGAGACATAATAGAAATGTAGAAGATGAGATTTTAATATTTCTAACTGTAAATAAAATACAACCTTACGATTATATTAAACAGTTTCTTAAAATCCCTAAGAAAAAATATGGTATGATTGATGATATATTAAGGATGTTGTGTTATAGTCAAGAGAAAGGAGAAGATGTTAAAGAAAATATCAAATTATTTATTGAAAGTAAAAATTTTAATGTTCAAAATACATTGAGAGATATTAATATTATTTTTAAAAATGATGTATGAAAGAAGTAAGACAAATCAATTAAATTATTATCCTGTACTGAAATTATAATCATACTAGGATTATCACATGTAAACTATTATATGTTATAATTGTAATATATTTATCGTTTGTAAAGATTGAATTATTATAATTTGCTTATCTCTTTCAAAGTGCGTTGTTTAGACTTGGCATGCTTCTTCAATTGTTTCGTGCTTTGGCTGTTTGTTTTTGTTTTGTTTGATACTCTTGCGATATTTTTTGTTGGTATGTTGCTTTGATTTTTGTTGATGTGTGTTTTTGAGTTTGGGTTCTTTGATGATTTAGAGTGTTGCTGTTTTGTTGGTATGCTTGATTGAATTATTTAATGTTGCATGCTGTGATTAAATATTTTTGTTGCTGGTTGTGATTATTTATTTTGTTTGCTTGTTGTTCTGGATTTTGTTTTCTGTTTGTTGTGTTGCTGTTGGAGAAAAAATAGTAGAAAGAATAATTCTTTGAATTCTCCTTTTACTATTTTTTAGGGCGGGGGTGTTGCAGATATTGAGCTGACGCGACGGGTGATCTTTCAGCGCTGTTTCGCGGGTCGCTCGTTCTTGCGCGCCAGGACTGCTGGCTGAGGACGGCGTCGGGCGGCTGGACACATGTCCATCGAGGAGGGTGCTCAAGGCGCGGCCCAGCTTGTCGCTCGATCGCTGGCTTCCCGGCCATCCTGTCGAGTCTTGTTTTGCGTTTGAAACAGCAAGGGAGCTTGGCAGATCGCGACTGGCAGCGAAGCGGCTTGCGGCTTGTTTGCCTTGTTCGCTCTTCCTCGCAGCTGCTTTTTGCTTTCCCAAGCGAACGGACGACCCTGCGGCCATGGCGTACTACTACGACTGGCGCGCGGCGGAGCTCTTTGGCATCTACGAGCGCCTTGGCGGGCGGCGGGCCTTCTGCAACGTCCAGGCGCGAGGGTTCGCCGGGTTGTCTATTCCGCTTCGCGCGCGCGCGCGTGCGTGGGCCTGTACAGGACCTTTTCAGCCAGCCGCTGGCTTTGCCGGAGTACGCCGCGGCGGCCGCTGACTGGCTTCGCTTGCTCTTGGCCGAGGATGGCTGCCCTGTGGGGGAAGGCGTCCTGGCGCTCTTGCGCGAGAATGACATTGCGGGCCTCGGCGCGGAGGCTTGGGCGGAGGCGGCGGCAGAGGAGCCCTTTCGCGAGTGCTTTGCGGCGGGCGTCGCCCTGGACACCGCGGAGGCTGCGGGGAGCGTGGCGGCCACGGTTGGGGACGCCGTCGCGGAGGAGTTCGGGGCGGCGGACATCGCGCCGGCAACGGACGACGGCGCCGCGGAGGAAGAGATCGCCTGCGCCAGGCCGGACGCGCCGAGGCGCCGCCGCCATCACCGCAAAGCGCCTGACCTGGCCGGCGCCTATCCGGCCCCGCTGGAGCCGGCCGGCATCAAGCGGCCGGCCGCCGGGGCGCCTGGGGGCGCGCGGGCGCTCAAGCGGCCCGCCGCCGCTGCTGCCTCTACGCATCTTTGTCAAGGGCGCGAGGGAGAAGCCTGCTGCTTTTCCGCGAGCGAGGTCGGCGGCAGAGCTCGCTACCACGACTCCTCGCGGCAGTGCCCCTGGTGCGGCGAGTCCCTCCTGGAGCGCGGCCTCGGCAGTGGCTCCGGCAAAGGCAATCTGGCGCGCGGCCTCCGCTTCTTTTGGGAGAACGACAAGGAGATCTTCTACCGGGCCAAGGCGCGGCTGCCGGCCATGTCCCGCGACCACTGGCCTCTACAGGTTTTGGGCTTGTCGCCAGCCTTCCACTCCGCGGCCGCTATGGCCGCCGCCGCAGCAACGCCGCAGGGCCGAGGCCGCCTGGTTTCTTCCGTGAAGAAGTGCGCTGCGAAGGACGCCGCGCTGGCTGGGGAAGCGTTGGCGGCGATCCCGGCGGCGTGGCGCCCCGAGATCCGCCAGAAGATGACAGAGGAGCCGCGGCGCGCGAGGCAAGCGCGGGCGCGGGCAGCTGCCGAGACAGCGGCGGAGGCTTCGGAGCGCCTGCTGGCGCGGCGACAGCGGCTGCGGGCGGCTCCTGAAGAGGACGAGCAGTGGCCGAGGACCGCGCCCGCGTCGCTCGGAAGTTCTTTCCGACGCGGCCGCGCGGCCCAAGGCATGCGGCTTTCTCCTGGACCAACGAGATGTCGCCCGAGCTGCGGGCCAAGGTCAAAGATGTGGAGCCGAACGACACAGGCCTGCCCTGCGCCACTACTTCGGCCGCGGCGGCTATGTTGGAGTCCTGGTGCAAGGAGGGCTCCTGGGGCATCTGCGAGCAGTGCGCGAGCTTGGGCCCGCGAAAGCTGAAGGAGGTGGACCTGCGGCGCGTGGCACAGCCCGGCGTGCCACACTGCCGCTTCTGCCGCGGCGACCCGGGCGCCGTCAAGACTGTGGAGGACGTCCCGGAGCCGCTGCGCGGCCTGACGGCGGAGATCGCTGAGGCCCTGGCGCCCATGGAGCTGGACTGCGGCCCCTACCAGCGGATGCTCCATGGCTACCGGTCCCATTCCGCGATGGCCCGCCTGCTGTGGCCCGAGCGTTCTGTTGAGGACAAGATCGCGGCGCTGGCTACTCGCCGGGATCGCCGAAAGGCGAGGGCGGCCCGGGCCTTCCTTTTGGAGAGCGGCGACTCCGAGTACAAGACCTTTGCCGCGAAGCACGCAGAATTCCTGCGCCAGAACCCGGACGCTTCGGAGGCGGAGCGGCGGCGGCCACTGCAGGCGCTGGAGGAGCCCGGAGTGGAGTGCGCCCTGTGGCCGGACCTCTACTGGGACTCCGACTGCTGCGAAACTGTGGTCCGCGCCACGGACGCGCGGCGGCTCCAGCGCCGCGGCGCTCTTCCACATAGCGACAGCGAGGCGGAGGAGGAGGAGCCCGAGGAGGCGGCCGGGCGCGGCAGCGTCCGGAGATCCTTTTTGCGCAAGGTGCTCGGCCCGATCTTGGACTACGCCGGCATCTACCCGTTGCTCCACTTTGTCTACGACTTGTGTCTCTGGAGCGAGCTTGGCAGCAAGCGGCACGTCGCGCCGCAAGTGCCCATGCGGATCCTCATGAAGGGCTCTCCGTTCACGCCGGCCTACTGGGCGCTGCGCCACGCGGCGGTGCTAGATCTCCAACGCCAATGTGGGCTTCCGATCGTCTTCAAGACCTGGGCGCCCTACGAGTGGAGCGCGCCCTACCACCGGGCGCTCCTTCGCCACATGACTGAGCTCTGCCGCTCCAGGCAGCACCTCGAAATCATGGAGACGTTGCACTTGGCCCACATCCTGGTGGAGCTCCTGCGGGAATGGGTTGCGGGCGGCAGCCGGAAGCGCGGCCCGAGCAGCACGACGTGGCGCCAGCATTGGCTGCAGGGGCACACGGCGGACGGCTCCCCGTGCCGCGTGAACTTTGCTGCCCGTTTGGAGTTTCAGGATGGGAAGCGAAAGCAGGGCTCCCAAGACTACCACGGGCGCGGGGCCGTCCACCTTCACGCGCTGCTCTTTGTGGAGTGCCCCGAGAGCTTGCGCCTGGAGGCGAAGCTGGAGGCCACGGCTCCGCCGGAGGGACATCCGCTGCGCGGCTACGTCCTGGACCAGCTCAGCTACAACGGCAGCGGCTGGCCGGTCTTCGAGACGCCCTCACGCTGGGACCCCGAGACGGAGACGATCCGGCTGCAGCACTCCGGGAGGGACGAGGAGCTGGGGGTTCGGGCGTTCAGCCCCGAAGAGCTTGACGTGCTCAAGGGCCACGTGGACAACCTGCTGCCGCAAGCGGACGACTCGGGTCGCCGGGGGCCGCTGCTTCGCTACGTCGCGACCTACAACATGAAGTTCAGCGACAGCTTCGCCAACGAGATGCTGGCGGACACGGGCGCCTCGGGCTACAGCCTGGCGCTGCGCATCCTGTCCAGCTATCATCCGCTGGAGCCCGAGATGTGGCTCACTCTCTGCGCCCAAGTCTTCCCGCAGTTCGCCCTGGGCGGGACGCTTGCGCCCCTTGTGGCGCCGTGGCCTACGATGGACCCGCTGCCCGCCGCGGTGCTCAACTACGAGGCCTGCTCCTGGCGAGGGGATGCGATGACCTTCTTGGAGTACTTGCGCAAGAGCAACTCGCAGGGCGAGATCGTGCAATGGCTCCAGCGGGCCCACGCGAAGGTCGACCCGGGCGTGGCGTTGGAGGAGTTCGCGCGCAATTACGCCACCTTCGGGGAAAAGGTCGTAGCCGCGGAGATGGTGAGCTTTTTCAGCGACAAATATTTTGGCCAATGGCTCATGCTCCACACGCCGTTTCGGAAGGCGGCCAACTTTCTCGACGCGGAGGTCGTGGCGAAAGTCCCGCGGCGGTATCAACTCTTCGCCTGCGCGCTGAGGGCGGCCCCGGGCTATTGGAGCGACCGGCGGCGGATCGCGGCCGACTTGGAGATCGCCGCGCATCGACACGCCTACATCGCCAACGCGCTGGCGCTGGTGGACGCCCAGAGGGCCCTGGTCGAGCAGTACCTCGACGGCACGCTGTCGCTGGAGGACGAAGTGCCCGAGCCGCAATGGAACCAAGCGGCCGCGGCGGAGGGCGAGCTGGCCCGCCCGGCCTTCAACTATAAGCAGCAGCTCTTGGAGCAGGAGGCGCTGAAGCGCTTGGACAAGGTCGCGGAGCTGCAGGCCGCGGAGAACGAAGCCGACGCCGAGGCGCTGGCCGCGGACCTGGAGCGGAACAACAGCCCGCTGGTCTGCCTTGGGGAGCCGGGCACGGGGAAGACCTTTGTCGCGGATTACTTGATCCGCCTTGCCCGCCAGCGGGGCCTGCGCGTGCTCTACGCGCTGCCCACGGGCCAGCTGGCCTGCCGCATGCGAACAAGGCACCCCGACATCGAGGTCGACACTTGCGCTGGGGCCTTCCTGTTTCACAGGCCGCTGACCGAGGCGCTCCTGCTGCTCACGCAGTACGACGTGGTCGTTGTTGACGAGGTCCTCCAGCTCAGCGCCGAGGAGTTCGGCCGCCTCCACGAGATGTATCTTGCGGCGGGCAAGCGGTTGCTGCTGCTTTTGATGGGGGACGAGTGGCAGCTCCCTTCCGTCCACCCGGAGCGCGCCTCGGACCACCCTCGCTGGCGCTTCGGGCACTTCGTCACTTTGACGGAAGTCCGGCGTTGTCAATGCCCGGCGCTGGGGGCCAAGCTTGCAGCCCTGCGCTACGTGAAGCCCACGGGCGCGGAGGGCCGTCGCTTGGTCGGGCAGATCTGCCGAGGCCACAAGGCCTGGAGCGGCCACGACGAGCCGACGGCGCTGGATGTGGACAGCGTCCTGGCGAAGACCGAGGGGCGGACGACCTTCGTCACTTGCACGAAGCGCGGCGCGGCCGTTGTCAACGACCTGGCCACGCAAGTGCTGTTCGCCAACCGAAATCGGCGCCCGCTCGGTAGCTTGCCCGCGGACTACCAGGAGAACGCCGAGAACTACGACGAGCACGGCAAGCTACGCGAGGACCGGCCGCCGCTGGCGAAGGACCTGGCTGTCTACGCGGGCCTGCGCGTGGTCCTCACGCGGAACCGCGACAAGGAGAACCACTTTGTGAACGGCATGGTGGCGGAGGTGGAGGCCTTTGACGTCGCTGCCGGCTGTCTCCGCGTCATGACGCAGACGGGGCGCCGCCTGGCTGTCTACCCCTTCACAGACACCGACGTGCCGAAGGGCCGAGTGGTCTACTTCCCCGTCCGCGTGGGCTACGCCGGCACCATTCATAAATATCAAGGGGCGGAGCTCGAGCACATCACTTTGTGGCTCGACCGGAAGTTCTCCAAAGCTGCCGCCTATGTGGCTCTCTCTCGGGTTGCCCGGGACACGGACTACTTGATCGGGGGCGAAGTTAGCACTGATCACTTCGCGCCCGCCAAGTGAAGCGCGCGAGTTTGATTTTGGGTTGCCCGGCAGGACTTATCCAACTTTAGACACCGCCGTCAACTTCTGCACTGCTGCGCCCGACGAGCAAAAAAAAAAGGGAGGCCACTGAGCCCGCCCGCTCTTGCTGCGATTTGCTCCCGCGTTCGTCTGTTTGTCCTGCCTGCCAGGCACCCCGCAGTGGTCCAGCGCGGGAGGTTGTCGGCTGCGCGGATGCTGCCGCCGAGGCGCAGGGCTCTCCGTCGTTCGCTGTTCGCGCTCGAGCGCTTCCATGTTCTTTGGCCAGCCTGGCCTCCAAAATAAAACCCTAAACCCTAATAGATTTTTGCTTGGGTGGTAATGGGGTGGGTTGAAGCTGCCCTCGGCGCGCCGCCCCGCGACCCTTTGGGTCGAGGCGCGCCGCTTCCGAGGTGAAAACCCTAAACCCTAAACCCTAAACCCTAAACCCTAAACCCTAAACTTTTAGTGGCTGCCGCCATATGCGCCAACACAGGTGTAAGGTTGTGTGTCGATCTTAGTGTTGACAGACCGGTCAAGCGACATAAGATCGATGCTCAATTAAGCCGTCTATCGAGCTATGTGACTTACAAAGTTTAAGCTTGCCTCAATTTAGACTAGACCAACTTTTCAAGCTCGAGATGATAGATTTAAACTGTCCATTGAATCGGGCGAGACTGAGGCTTAAACTTTTCATTGATGGAGCATCAAACGTTCTAAACGCTTAAGCTGACCTCGCCCCAAATTGATCAACGTCCGCAAACTCGAGGTCGGAAACGTCGTAGTCTGTCAATTTGTTAGTAGATTTAAATAAGAAGCTCGAGACGGCATATCGAGATATCTATAGATATATTTAGCGATTGAACGTCAGGCGTTTGAAGCGCTCGAACAAGCCTGCCTCCAAGGTAGGTTGACACCTCAAACTCAAGATCGCGAACATTGCCGCTCGACACAAATGCTAGGTTAAGCTTGCTTGCCGGACTCGAAGCTAGACAAATCAGACAGGCCTGGCCAGCAGGTGGTTGGGCTGTTGGTTGCCGGGGCTGGGCCTCGCTTGTTTCACGCGTCAGTAGGTGGTTGGGCAGCCAGACTCTGAGGCCTGGGCTAGGCCTTACTTGGGTGGGTTGCTGGGGTCATGCTTTTCGTGACAGTCTTTTGTTCGGCTTTGCGATTTTCAGCGCATTCGCCTGGAGCCTGGGAATTTCCAGGCCCTCTTGGGCCTTTCCAGGACTTTGCCAGGCCCTCCAGACAGGATCCTGGACCAACAGGCATGGGTGAGGGTGGATTTTTTTGGCCAACCGGCTTGTGATGGGCTGGGCCTTGCTTGGGTGGGTCTTCTGTTTAGGCTGGGCCTGAGGATCGTCAAACAGGCCTGGCCCGATCGAGAGGCTCGAGAGGCTCGAAAGGCTTGATCGAGAGGCTCGAGAGGCTCGAAAGGCTCGAAAGGCCCGATCGAGAGGCTTGAGAGGCTCGAAAGGCTGGATTGAGAAGGCTTGAAAGGCCCAATCGAAAGGCTCGAAAGGCTCGATCGAGAGGCTCGAGGGGCTCGAAAGGCTCGAAAGGCTCGATCAAGAGGCTGGAGAGGCTCGAAAAGCTCGAGAGGCCCGATCGAGAGGCTCGACAGGCTCAAGAGGCTGGATCAAGAGGCTCGAGCGGCTCGAAAAACTGGAAAGGCTTGAAAGGCCCGATCGAAAGGCTCGAAAGGCTTGATCAAGAGGCTCGAGGGGCTCGAAAGGCTCGAAAGGCCCGATCGAGGCGGGCTGGCCTCGCTTGGGGCGAAGCTAGTTTCAGCCACGTCAGTAGGTCAGACTCTGAGGCCTGGGCTGGGCAGGCTGGGCTAGGCCTTACTTGGGTGGGTTGCTGGTTGGGCTGGGCCTGAGGCGTAGACCATTTTATCGCCGTTTTATCAAGCCAAGGCCCGCAGGCCATTTTATCAAGCCCGTAGACCATTTTATCGCCCGTAGGCCATTTTATCAAGGCCAATGGCCGTTTTATCAAGCCAAGGCAGCCCGTAGACCATTTTATCGCCCGTAGACCATTTTATCGCCAATGGCCGTTTTATCAAGCTTTTATCAAGCCAAGGCAGCCCGCAGACCATTTTATCGCCCGTAGACCATTTTATCGCCCCCCTTGCCCGTAGACCATTTTATCGCCGTTTTATCAAGCCAAGGCAGCCCGTAGACCATTTTATCAAGCCGTAGACCATTTTATCGCCGTTTTATCAAGCCAAGGCAGCCCTCGTAGACCATATTATCAAGCCCGTAGACCATTTTATCATAAAAAAGCTCGACCTTTTCGGATTACAGTGTTGGGATTCCCCTATATAGAAAAACTTTCGAAGCTTTGAGGTCTCCGCTACTCGCTCTCGACATTTGGCTAGGGCGCCCCCACACTGTGTTGGCGGACCCTAAACCCTAAACCCTAAACCCTAAACCCTAAACCCTAAACCCTAAACCCTAAACCCTAAACCCTAAACCCTAAACCCTAAACCCTAAACCCTAAACCCTAAACCCTAAACTTGTTTATCTATATTTATTTAAACCCTAAAGGAAATTGCGGCTAGTGAACTGAGCTTTTTCGGCGCTCCAAAACGTTGGCCCTGTCAGCCAATAAACCCTAAACTTTTTTCCGACCCTCGGTTGCTGGCAGGGCCATCATTTTGGAGCCTCTACTTGGCGAGCGGTTTTTCGTGGCCCTGTCGTGGTTTCGGGCCGCCGACCTTCAAAAACTCGTGGTTTTTTGCGATTTTCAAAACGCCCGCGCGACCCTCTGCGGACTTTGGGCTGGTCGACCTTCGAAAACTCGTGGTTTTTTGCGATTTTCAAATCGCCCGCGCGACCCTCTGCGGACTTTGGGCTGGTCGACCTTCGAAAACTCGTTGTTTTTTGCGATTTTGAAATCGCCCGCGCGACCCTCTGCGGACTTTGGGCTGGTCGACCCTCGAAAACTCGTGGTTTTTTTGCGATTTTCAAATCGCCCGCGCGACCCTCTGCGGACTTTGGGCTGGTCGACCCTTGAAAACTCGTGGTTTTTTTGCGATTTTCAAATCGCCCGCGCGACCCTCTGCGGACTTTGGGCTGGTCGACCTTCAAAAACTTATGGCTTTTTGCGATTTTCAAATTGGCCGCGCGATGCTCTGCGGAGTTTCGTGTGGCTAAATGGCTCTCGTTGTGGCGCGGCACGCATTTTCTTGCGGCCGTAAACCCTAAAACGTTGCCGAGCCAAGGGGAGAGCGCGCTAGATGTGAGCTCGAAGCGTTGCCGAGCCATTGGGATTGCTTCTGAAATTCTCACTCAGCGCTCGCGCGCGGCTCAACTCTTTTCGTTGAACTTCTGCCATCAAACTTTCTATTCCGAAACTTTGCTTTCAAAGTTCTTTCATGCAAATCCTACATCCCGTAGCCGATAGTTTGCGATTGAGAAACAAGCCTCTTTCGCCGCAACGATCTTAAATTTGTCGCGAAAGGTTTGGCTGCCCAATGAAATGGGAGCTTGGGTGGGTGGTGTTTTCAACCAGCAACTGTGGATGAAGCGCTCCTTGTGATTTGCTATCCTGGAATTTGGATTGACCCTAAACTAAAGCTCGCGATGTTGTCCCGCTCGCCTAGAGCGTCGTAGCATCGCGAGCGCAGGGCGCGCTTCGCGACCCGGCTGCGTCTAGCTGCCCTGACTCCTGACAAGGCGAGCAGGAAGAGTTAGCTTCCTGCTCCGTCCTCGCTCTTGATGCGATCATAAGAGGTGACCTGTGCTGACAGCACTAAAATATGGAGCGGTAGCTCCTATATTATAGTACCCTAAAACCTAAGGTCCCGGACCCTAACAGATACCGGAAGTCTTCTTTTGAGAGTTGAGCCTCCTTGCAAGGGCTCATGAAGCATAAAACGGCCATTGGCCTTGATAAAACGGCCATTGGCCTTGACCGTTGGCTTTGATAAAATTGCTATTGGCCTCGATAAAACGGCCACTTGCACTTCCAGGGCCAGCTCCAAAATGTCGCTTTTGAGGCTTCAAATGGCAAATTCTCAACCTTTGAGCTAAAATGCGCAATCTTTAAATAAACTCTAGCACAGAACGGCCACTTCCAGGGCCAGCTCCAAAATGTCGCTTCTGGAGCTCCAAATGCATTTGAGCTAAAATGGGTTATTTTGCAATAAACTCTAATAAAGAACGGCCACTTCCAGGGCCAGCTCCAAAATGTCGCTTTTCGAGCTCTACATGGCCATTCTCACATTCGCAATTTTTATATAAGCTCCAGTCCAAGGCCAGCTTTCAAATGTCGCTTGCAAAGTGTCAATTTTATATGAGCTCCAGCAAAGAACGGCCTTCCAGGGCCAGCTCCAAAATGTCGCTTTTGGAGCTCCAACGTGTTTTCATATAAACTCTAGCACAGCGCTGCCATTTCCAGGGCCAGCGGGCTAGGCGGCCTCGGTCGCAACCGCCCATCGGCTTCGTTCGCGTCGCCCCCGGCCGTGGCCTGGACTGTGGCCCTAAACGAGGTTTCGTTGTCGCGCAAATGATTCTCTGGGGCTGATCCTTGCGGGCCTCTTCCCCCAAGATTGGGGGAGACCAGGGGGTTGAGCTGTCAAAGCTCTCGCGGGGCTTCGACTTTTCTCCCGTTTTCTGGGGGCTCTTGGCCCCCGCCCGATTGTCTTGGCGCGCTCGAGCGCTTCCATTGTTCTTGGGCCAGCCTGGCTTCCAATTAAAACCCTAAACCCTAAAAGATTTTAGTTTGGGTGGTATTGGGGTGGGTAGAAGCTGCCGCCTCGGCGCGCCGCCCCGCGACCCTTTGGGTCGAGGCGCGCCGCTTCCGAGGTTAAACCCTAAACCCTAAACCCTAAACCCTAAACCCTAAACCCTAAACCCTAAACCCTAAACCCTAAACCCTAAACCCTAAACCCTAACCAAAGCGAGGAGCAGGAGCTGCGGTAGCCAGCGACGAGCGCTACCGAGGACGCCTTCGGCGCCGAGGGGCGGCCGAGCGAGCCACCGCGAGGTGTGCGCGGCCGCGGGCCTCAACGCGCGGTGAGCCGCGGCCCGGGCGTGGTGCCCGAACGGCAGCCCGCCACCGACAGGTGGCCTTAAACAGAATTACCCTAAACCCTGTGCCTTACCAGGGCCTGGATGTCTCCGTCCTCCTTTACATTGGCTTGATAAAACGGCCATCAGCCTTGATAAAACGGCCATTGGCTTTGATATTGAAGCTAGCCTTGATAAAATGGCCATCGGGGCTG